TTGAGAACACTCTTTCTCAAAGAGAATATTACAAATTTACAAACTTAATGAAAAACCTCACAAGGCAAATGTGTTTGCACAATTCTAGAACAAAGAAAGAACACTCAAGAATAATACAATTGAGCACAATAAGTGTTCTTGAAAGCAAAAATGAATATTGAATGAAATAGGCTTGAAAGTGCTCAAACTTGAGGTTTGATACTTTCTCTTTGATTCTCTCTTGATTCTTGTTGATTGTTGTTTCTTGTTGTTGATCAATGGCTTCTAAGCTTTTTTAAATATTCCTTCAATTGATTCTGAACGTTGGGGATGATTAGTGGAGTCAATAGAGTCATTTAAGTGTGAAAACAATTAATAAAACTGCTTAGAGTGTGGGGGGAATCGATACCTCCTCATAGGGAATCGGTTCCTGCAGTGTAAAATTTAAATATTTCAACCGTTAAACAGGGGGAATCGGTACCCCCTGGGGGGAAATCGGTTCCCTTCGAGCAATCTATTATTTCTCAGAGCCAAACCATTCAAGGGGGAATCGGTACCCCCTGAGGGGGAATTGGTTCCCTCTTGGCAATTTGCCCATTTTGGTTTGATTTTAATTAAGAAAAGATTTTTGACTCGACTAAGGCTCGAAATACTTTGTAAATTTATTTAAAATATTAAGACATATTTTTACACTTGAATAAGGATTTGAAATAGACATTTGTAAAACTTGGAGTAATGTTTTGATATTTGAATAGATTGATAGAATATATATTTTTTAAAAATGATTAGAAAATCTTGAAATCCAATATCATTTAATTTGTTATATCGAAACATCAAAATGTTTTCAACACATAAGGACTTACCCGAGGCCCCCTTGGGCTTAGGTGCTAATCTAAGGGAACACCTTGGGTCCATAAGGTCTTATCCTAGCTGAAGTGTAGGTGCACACCTGAGGGGAGTGCCCTCAGGCCCATAAGGACTTACCCAATGCACACAGCAGAGGTGCAACACTAAGGGAGTACCTTAGGGTCCATAAGGTTTTACCACTAGTCCCATTAGGCCTAGGAGCCCACCCAAGGGTTACCTTAGATCCGTAAGGAATTACCAGCTCGATCAGTCTGAACCTATATAAGGAATTACCAGTTTGACCAAGCTGAACCTGTAGAAACTTTATACCAGATCCCATAGTACCCCGAAGAAAACTAGTTTTCGGATAATTTATTATGGAAGCAGAGAAATCAGAGTTCACACATAGCAATTCAGTATGAACAATATCCAGAGATCATGAATTAGACAGGCAGACTTAAAACTTCAGTAACTCAAAAATCTCGGTAAAACATATTTCAGATCAGATAAAACAATCATATAACACATAGGGAACACATTAGAAGATCCATTTATTTTCTGAAAGTACTTATTAGTTATCAAGTAGGGAGACAAGAAACTTATGTAAACTGATTAAATTAAGAAATGAGATCCCTATAAAAAGGTTTGATAGATGATAGATTCATCAGTTATTCGGGACATGATTTATCAAGATCATAAAGTATTCAAATATTTTTCGGAGGCACTGTGTAATCAGAAACGTATTTAGAATCCTTTTCATTAAAGTTACTTGTGATTCAGATATGACAGGAGTGATTCCACAATTTAGGAAATCAGGGGTATTTCGGATATTAGGGTTTTGGAGAATTCTTAGTAATTTGATCTAATAAGGGAGAAACGATGATTCATGGTATTTAAGATTCGTGACGATTTATCAGAATATCGAGTTAACTCAAAATAAACAAATCCCAGCATTGTGATACCTATCAATCGGTCAAATCGTTGCACTTTAAGGGTATTCGCACTTTAATACTAACAACTCTTGTCGAACTGATAATCTTCATAATCATTGTTGAATGGATCTTAGGGAGACGAACATGTATTCAAATGGTATTTATTTCATTTTTATATTATAATGATATCAAGAAATGTTGACGTGTATGATTCGTGGTTCAAAACCCTTATAGACGATACAACATATAAGATTATCAGTGTTACCAGACTTATCCAAATTATTCACTTAATTTTAGGTCTTTGAGGGTACTTAGGTCATTTAGTAGTCAAGTTATCCCGGTCACTTCGGAGTTGCTAGATTAATTCAGTTGTTTCCACAATTTGGATATATACAATACTTCCACTTAGTTCAACTTGGTCATATAATATAGTCATTTTACACTTCAGGGGCAATTTTTTGATTTCATAATCAGAAAATTTCGGTATTAAAGTTATTAATGAGGATAAATAAAATTTATAGATTCTGAGGTTATTTGTTTTTCCGGATAATTGCTTAATTTGAAACCATTCTTATCAGTCTTCTTGTGTCTATGTAGGTAGTCTGAGCCTTATTCAATTTATTTTATTTTATTTCACAATCGGACCTAGTTTAGAATTTTTAACTACACACATGTAACCACATATGTACTCAACCATGCATTTACCAATACCAACATGTTCTATACAACATCCATAAGGTAGTAATGTATTACCTCGATCTACGAGTCATATCAATCGGCCGATTAAACTTCATTCGATCACCCTTGAAATTTAATTCTACGTCTCATAATGTCTCGGATACATGGAAAAACCAATTCCATTAGAAAGGGAACTTAAACGTAAAAATTTGTATTGAATCGAGAGATAAAATGCCGAAAAATAGCTTACTGGGATTTAATTTGGCAAAACAGACTTTGGATTCAGGCTTAGGACGTCGAAAAACATAAAATAAGATTTGTTTGAAAAAGTTAACTTTTTGGTCAAAGTCAATGGTCAACGAGTTGACTCGGCTTCTGGAAGAATCAGCTAGACGACAAGCCCCATGCGCAACGGTGGTGCATGGCAGTACGTGCGATGGGCAAAGGGAATAGAAATAATGGTCGACCACTCCTTAAGCCTTCAATTACTAAAAGAAACTAATTTCAAGTGAATTATCCAACTACAATAACATGATCAAACGGAGAAGAAAATCGAAAAGCTTACCCGCGATCGCTAGTGATAGAACGACGGTGAGGCGATACTATTTGATGGGTTTTGTTCGGACATGGATGGGGAGGCCAGTTGTGAGGGAAGTGAGGTGAACGACCGACGGGATCACTTTTGATCATCGATAAACAGTGGTGAGGCTTGGGGTTTACCGTCGAACCTTCATCGGTTTATCTACAGCAAACGGCAGGGCCAAACGGAATAAGGGTGGTTGGGTTTTGATTGGGACTGGACAAATAGTCCAACGATGGTGGCAGTGAGGTCACCGAACGCCTATAGTTGCCGAAATTAGAGGAAAAAACTTCAGTGGTTTAGGTTCTCCGACGAAATTTTGAACGTCAATTTGTATCGAACGGTAGTGTTTTATATTTTGGGGTTAGAGGGGTTTTGATTACTGACCGATGGGGAGTCGAATGCAGGTAGCGACGTGCTCTACGGTGGCTGGACAACGAGGGTTCGATAAGGGCCGATGGGTGAGTTAGGGATTGAGATTTTTTTCCAATTTGGAGATTTTTGGGGGTGAACCGGGTTTATTTTTCATTGACCAAAAAATGGTAAAATTCAAGGTTAACTTCCTGAACTTTCCACAGGTTCTAAAATCGTGTTGTAACTTTTAAAAATTTATAATTTGGTCCTCATCTTTTCCCTTGTAACAACTTTAATTCGATACTTTAAATTAATAAAATCTAGCCTCTAAATTGGGGTGTGACATGTTGTGTTGTAATAGTTTTGATTCGTGTAATATGTTCTTGGATCAACTATGAACCTTGACAATGTAACACCCTGACCGAAAAGATTCAATAGAATATGAGCGTTTAATATTTGGGTCACTAAAGTGATCCCACAAAATTTAATTTGAAAACACATTTAAAATAACATTTTAAGTAACTAAAATAAAATCATATAACATATAATTTGAGTTCGAAGTATGATTACAAAAGTTAAGCTCAACTTTAAAATAACTTTATAAAAATAGTATCTAAAATATAATAAATAAGTTCACATACCAAAATCACTAAGTAAGAGTTCTACAATAATACACGTCCAATTAAAATGATGGGATGATACTCAAGTAGAAAGTTGTTACTCAAGTAGAACAAATTACAGATTGACCTTACATTTAGTCTAGTTGATTATCCTTAACACATGGATGAATGGGAGATGGTTGTTGGCGGTAGGGATGACTCATGTTAAGTTCGCCATAGATTTTGTTGAGAGAATGGCGTGATAGAGCATGACGAGACGTCTAAAATGATGACCGATTGTGATTAAAGATAGGTTTTGAGTGATGAAAGGGTAGTTGTTCGAGTTGAGATAATGAATTCGTATGAAACAGAGATCGAATTTTGACTTAAAAAGTTAAAATAAAATAAAATGATCTAACAATGTTAATGATTACCGATGACAATGATCATGACAAATGATTGGCGAAATCTGAGTTTACATCTACTTGACTTCAACAATAATAAAAAAAGGTCAAATATGTATAAAATTAGAAAGATAAATGATTGAATGATCAACATATGAAGAGTTCAAAAATTTAGTAACTAAATTAAAAATAAATAAATTTTAGTGGGAAAAAAACTAGACGTGGTTGAGGGCTTTGGTCCTAGTTTGGGGTCACACTAACATTGTCTTTTGCACCTTTTTGTTTTGTGGTCCCTTCTTCCTCGGTCAAAAAGTTTAGGATTGTTCTCTCCTTTTTTTTCAAACGAAATAAAGGAATCCCACCGGCCACCAGAGATAAGCATGAAGATTAGACAAAAAGGGGTATCTGATGTTTACCCATCAACCGAGTTACCGATTCGGGACTTAAAACAGTGGATTATTGCAAAGATATTCAGTTTCCTTTTTTCTTCCCATAATCATCGCATTACTAATCATTACAACATTTACTCAAAGAACTGAATCCCATAAACTTGAACAAAGGGCAACCATTTACAGCCACAACCAAAGCTTCAAGCATGAAACAAGCTAAGGTAACACAAATATCCAACAACCAAGTACCATTTTTCTCTCAGTAAGCCTCATGCTCCCCCCGCAATTTGTTTCAACAAATTTCGAATAAATTTTAGCTACTAATGTCGAATACAAATTTGGTTTTGACATACTAGTATATCATACTTTCTTGGGGACGATGAACTGCACAAATTTCTTCTTGCCCTTTCCATCAGGAGAAGTGTGATGATGGCCTCTCAAAAACCCATACTTAATCATTTGTTCCCTCACAAATCTTTCGTATATGAAAGCGGCCCCCCTAAACTGTGGTAAAACCAGCCATGCCAAGAACAATAGCTTCACTGGGTACCAAATAGGTATCCTGCAATTTCCATTTATATTTATATTGTGTTACCTTGCTTTAGTTTTTAACAGAAAAAAAAGACGTAAAATTGTTACCATTCCAAGACTGATTGAAACAACATCTCTGTTAAAGTGAGCAATGAATATAGGATCCAATAAGCAAGCCACTGTTCATCATCTTCCTTGTCTGGACTCTCTATTGCTATAATCGATGCATATCTAAAAGGGAAAAGAAATTAACTAAAGAAAATTATAAAATGATTTAACAAAATCCAACAACAGAGAGGCCAGTTTCTTTCTTACAATGGATACGGCAACATCACCACAGGCCTGCAAACATTACAAAGTAAGAAAGAAAAACACAGTTTAATTCATCAAAAGCAAAGAAAAACAAGAAATGGGTAATAAAATAGGATGAGAAATATACCCCGCTAATGAATGAAGGTTTGAGAGCAAAGTCCAGAAACGACCCATAAGGAAAGTGTGTGCGAAGATAGAAGAATGAGAGAACGGTTGTGTTTGTTGTTGGTTGAAACCAGAAGACGAGGATTTTACAGACAGAGGCATGTGGGGATAGGGTACCAGGTGGCAAGAAGAGAAGGGGTATAGGGTTCTGACTTGGACGTGTGGAAATAGATTAAGCACCGTCCTAAAGACATTTAATGATCACTAATCCTATGATCCAATTAAAACTCTCTTTTTTCCTTTTATTATGCATTTGTTAAAAGTTTATTGGAATTAAGTGATGGATCCAAATGTATTGTCTCTTCCTTCCTTACTTGGAGTCTGTGGGTCACGCAGTTCCGTATTTGTTAATGTTGGAGTTTACGATGAGAATGAAGCAAACCAGGAAGCTTGCAGCTGCAAGTATACATTCAAGTTGGTTTCATTTCGGGGTAATTCTCACGAGCCTACTTAGAAAAACAAATTACAAGTCAAATTTGAATTACAAACTTTTATAAAATTTTAAGGATAAATTATATATTTAGTCATCCAATTGTTTTTAAGATTTTATTTTAATCATTTAATTATTTTCAAAACTATATCTAACATTCTATTTTGGTTATCCGTCATTAAAAAATAATGAAATTGCTAACGTGATCATTTTTATTTTTCTTCAATAATGATATGACATTAACTTATGATGATATGTCAAAATCATCATTAATTTTTTAAGAGAAAATAACCTCAGTGACCAAAAATACCTTATAATATACGATTTTAACCAACTTTTTTTGGATTTGCCAAAATGATCAACTAAATCGCAATGCGATCGATAATTCGCAACGCTATCTCCGGTATCGCAAATCAGTTTCCAGATTCGCAACGCGATTTTGACTATCGCATTGCGATTTCCCAAATTCGCGTTGCGATTTTCCTAATTCGCAATGCGAATACGTAAATCGCAACGCGAATTTGGAAAATCGCAATGCGATTACGTAAATCGCAATGCGAATACGTAAATCGCAATGCGAATCTGTAAATCGCAACGAGATTCTGACTATCGCAATACTGAATTTCAAATTCGCAACTCGATTTCTGAATTCGCAACAGGTTTTATTTTCGCAACACAAATGTTTTGGGTATATAACTACGCAGCAGCAGCAACTCATAACCTAAATCCCTAAATCGCAACTCATTCCATCTCCATCTATCACTCTCTCCGGCGACATCCGTTCCTATATCCAACAACATCCTTCCCCATCCGGCAACATGTTTTAGTTTCGCAGCTCGTTTGTTTAGTAAATTAATTTACAATAATGAAATCATCTAATGTTGATCATGTTTGGATAGATTTGTGTTTTGGAGGGTCATGGGAGAATGTTCATGGTGTTTTACAATATATGCATTTACCCATGAATCTTCAACTAAAATTGTCATTAAAAAAGTTAACTTATGAAACTCTAATGTTACGTGTTGCAAATAAATTGAATTTAGAGCCCCTAAGTGGATTTAGGCTATCTTATCAGAGAAATAGTAAAGTTTATATTGTTAACCGATAATGAAGATGTTGAACGATTCATTGCTTACATTAGTGTTTCAAGTGATGATGTTACATTGTATGTTGTTGAACCTAGAAGTAGTGAAGTTAGGTCAGTAGCGGGTAGTAATCAACTAAGTTTTTCAACCCCAGTTTATGGTGCTCAAAATTTAATGGTTCCACCACAATTTCATCACCAAGCAAATATTGTTTCACCACATTTCCAATACCAAACACAATCTCAAAACCCACAACCTTTCCCTAATCCAAATCCCAATCAACTTTCAGCACCAAATTCCAATTTTCGTATTGACCAGTTAGACGATGATGAGCCAACAGAAAAAATTGTGAGTACTAGTCAGTATTCGAAATTTGATCTTGGTCAATACCTGGACTTTGATCTTCGTCAATACTCGGATTTTGATGATTTTTCAGAAGAAGAAACAGACCCTGCATGTAATGATTTTGATATTAGTCAATACCCGAATTTTGATGATGAAACAGCCGTTGCCGAGGAAGATGTTGTTGATGATAATGAGGAGGAAGTTACGACTGTAAATGAACATGTTGAACATCCATTCTGTAATTCATATAACACTGAAGAAGAAAAAGAAGAAGAAGAAATCCCCAAAGAAAAGTCCCCGAAGAAAATGCCACGGGAGTATAACTGGAATATGCCAGAATTACTTCAGATACCGGAAGAAGAGTTGGTAAAGATAGCAGTTGATTGTTACACAAAAATTATTCGTATCAAGAAAGATGATTGTTTTGATACAAAGGAAGACTTGAAGATAGCTTTGTATACGAAATGTGTGGAAGATGGCTATCAACTAAAAGTTAACAAATCAAGCAAAGATCGTTTCGAAACAAGGTGTATGATTGACAAAAACTGTATGTGGCGTATGATTGCAAAGAGGATAAAAGATTGTGAAATGTTTCAAGTTAGGAATTTTATTGATAAACATACATGTTCAAGAACCCAAGTTTTTCCTCACCATAGACAGGAAAACAAAAAGGTGTTGGGTGGTTTTCTGGCTGAGTTAATGTTTTTGAATGGTAGGGTATATCGGGGACATGAAATTATGACTGACATGAATGCTCGGTTCAAGATTAGTATCTCATATTCTCAAGCTTGGAGAGCCAAATGTTATGCCTTGGAATTGTTGAGGGGGTCGCCAGAAGCATCGTTTGCCCAACTACCGGCTTATTGTCACAATTTAAAGCCGAAAAATCCTGGGTCGGTAACTCATATCAAAACATATAGAGATGGACGCTTTGAGTTGCTGTTTATCGCCATTGGTGCTGCGGTTAGTAAATCAATATAATTTTGTTGACTCATTTTTGTTAGTTACATGCATTTCACATTTAAATGATTATATTTCTTGTGTATATGATTTTGTAGATTCGTTCGTTTATTAATTGAATGCGCCCAGTTATTATAGTTGACGGAGCACATTTAAAAGGTCGATACCTTGGAGTAAACTTATTAGCAGTAGCCATGGATGCTAACAATGGGATATTGTCAATAGCTTACGGGGTTGGCAAATCTGAAACCTCTGATTCATGGACATGGTTTATGGGGCATCTTAGGGATTGTATAGGTCCTATTAGCAACCTGACAATCATATCCGATAGGGCAAACTCAATTGACAACGCTGTTAGAAGGTGTTTCCCAGATGCTTTTCATGGACTTTGTGGTGTTCATTTGTATAGAAATCTAAAATCAATGTCTGTTGGTATAAAAAATCACAAATGGACATACTGGAAGGCTGTAAAAGCTTATCGGGAAGTGGATTTTAATAAGCATATAAACTGTTTAAGACGTGTTTTGCCTCAGTGTGCTCAAACACTAGAAGATGTCGGGTTTGAAAGATGGTCAAGAGTACATCAACTTGGAGCAAGATATGGTTTCATGACGTCTAATAGTGCAAAATCAATCAACGCTCTAAGTCGTCATTCCCGAAAATTACCCATTACTATGTTAATGGAGTTTTTTCGAGCCTCTATTCAACAGTGGTACTACAAGAAAAGAAACCATGCAGGTATTATTTCTTTAAATTCGTAACTTATCATATATTTTGCTAAGTATTATTTATTTAAATTTACAGGAACATTGGAACATCGTGTTACACCATGGACAGAAAAAAAAGATAACGAAACGTGTTGTGAAGTCAACGTCATGGAGAGTTGAACCATGTTCAAACACTTTGTTTGAAGTACTGGATAATAACTTAAATGGGCTTGTCGATCTAAATGCAAAGACGTGTAGTTGTATGAAATGGCAAACATCTGGTTATCCGTGTGGCCATGTTATAAAAGTTTCTCTTCATCTAAACCAAGATGATTCAAGCGCATACGCTATGGATTGCTACACTGCAGAAGTATATCGACAGACTTATGGCGAGATTGTCTACCCTATTCCACATCCTTCTGAGTGGGACATACCAGATGACTTACAAACAGTTTTGCCAGCAGCCATGGACAGAAGGCTACTTGGCCGACCAAAAAGTCACGATCGTATACCGTCTAAGGGTGAATAGAAGAAGAGATCGACATGTAGTCAGTGCAAGAAAAGTGGTCATACAAGGTTGACATGTGGATCACCAGTGCCATCACAATCATCTTTTCCTCTACCAAAATATGGATCCTCATCAAAATCCCAATCACAACTGGCTTCACCTTTTGGGACTGTTAACTTAGGTGATTTTTAAATGCAAACGTTGTATTATGTGTATATTATGTGTGAACTTTTAACATTTTCAGTTAGGCATATATTAGTAACTTGAGTTTGAACATTGCTATGATATGTTCAGTTGTTATCACTTATTAGACATTCATTTGACTATCGCAACGCGAATATGACTATCGCAACACGGAAATGACTATCGCAATGCGGAATTGACTATCGCAACGCAGAAATGACTATTGCAACGAGAGAATCGCAATGCGAAATGAAAATCGCAACGTCGCGTTGCGATTTTCATTTTCGCATTGCGATTCACTCGTTGCTATTTTTATTTCGCATTGCGATTCTCTCGTTGCGATAGTCATTTCCGCGTTGCGATAGTCTGTTTTGCATTCAACATAATGCAGATTGAAATCAACAAATCAACTATTACATTTTAATCAATTAAACAAGCACAAATATTATGTACACATCAATTAAACAAATCAACATTTACAAATCATCTTTTACAAATCAATTAAACAATCAAAAAATAATAATGAAATCAACTTTTGCACCCATACATCCATTTCACGCAGCTCAATTCAGGATTAACCTGCAGAAATCAAACATTGAATCAACAACACTTTCTACACATCTAAAACCTACAAACAACAAATTATTGAATTCTAGCTACTTAACCAAACATTTTCAAACAAAAAAGAGTAAATATGTTTAACAAAACTTGCATTTGACTTACAAATTGTTTATGGACACTTTCATAATGCGGATGCAGGTAGGCAACGTCTCGCATATATCGCTCTAGCCATAAAATACCGAAACCACAAGCTTACTGCACCTC